TGCCGTCGCCGCTGTGAACCACCTTTCTTCTTCCACCGTTGAGTTGGTGTCGCCGCCGTTCCGAGAGATGAAACAAAGAGGAGAGGAGTTTTAATTGGTATTGAAATCTCACCGCAGTACCAGTGGCCACACTCAGCTCGGGTAGGAACGATGAAGGCGTCGAAACAGATTAGACAACAGTCGTCGGAAGGAGGAGTATTAGAGTCTCTGCAACTAGGGTTTGGATCGGAACTTCTCATTCTCTCACTAGTCACTCAATTCATCCACCACCTCGCTCTTTCTCTCTCTAGAGATGAATTTTTTTTAATCAGGAACAAGAACGAAAGAAAGGATGTGATAGACCCATCAAAATTTTAGTTTGGCTCCCCTGTTTGGCTATTTTGTACATGTGTGTGTATATATCTATATACATATATGTGTGTAATTTTGTGTCTAGTTATCTATACATATATATGTGTGTGTGTGTGTGTAATATATATATATATATATATATATATATATATATATGTTTGACTGTTTTATATATCTATATAGATATATATGTGTGTAATTTTCAGGAGTTGGGTTTTGTGTGATGGTGGTGGTGGTCACGGCGATTAGGGATGATGATGGTATGAGGAAGAGGAAAAGGAAGAGGAAGATATATGTTGCGGGTAGTTTGGTAACAAAAATAGTCAATAGAAGGTCAAATAGTAGCATAGTCATTTAACTCATCAAAAGTACTATGGCCTTACCAAACATTGACATTTGGGGTGTAAGTGAAATGTTAAACCCCTAATTCAAATATAAGTGAAATCTAAAACCAAAATGTTAATCTAGCTATAAAATGACATAACCTCCGGGGTCTGAGTGTAATTTACCCAAATATAAAATATTCTGCTCTCTTCACATCTCTTGTTCACATTTCTCTCTCTCAAAAAAATAAATAAATAAAATAAAAATAAAAGTTATACTCCCACAGTTCTTGGAATAAAAATCAATACTAGGGGTGAGTTCATCGAAATCAAGTAGTAGGACCTCCAACAATCAAGCCTGGGTGCAGAGGCGGAGCCAGTGTGTGCCCAGAGACTATAAAATATAGTAATTTTTGTTTTAATTTGTATATTTATAAGAAAATTTCTATATTATGCCCCCCTAAAATTTTAAATTTCCAAAATTGTCTTCTAAATTTTTCTTTGCCTTTTCTTTTGCTCTTCATATTCCTTTGATTTCCTTAAAAAAAAAGTTAAATTTTCCTTCTTTACTCCAACTCTAATGTTTTTTTCCTTTCAAATTTCTCATTTTTCTTCCTTTTTTCTTCTTCTTATTAATTTTTTTTGGCCCCCTACTTCTTAACATTCTTCTTTTTGCACTTAAGAATGATGTATATAATATGTATTTTTTTTTTTTTTTTTTTTGTTCTTCTTATTTAAATTATAATTTTTTTTTTTTTTTTTTTTTACACTATACCCTCTCTAAATTAAAATCCTCGCTCGGCCGGTGCTAAGGATCCCATACATTTAGAAAATGGAATTCTTGGATTTTTTTTTTCTTTTTTCTTTTTCTTCTCATTGCTCTTTACTTTGTTAATAAAATACTGTAACACCTTTACTACTTTGATATCTCCTTGGTTAGTTATAACTTTTCTCTCTCTCTCACTAATATGGCTACTCATCTTTTTATTTAGGGTAAAGTGCATTAAACTCCCTTAAATTATACCCCAACGAGCAAAAAAAAACCCTAAATTTCAAAATGAGTAAAAACCTTTAAACTATTCAGTTTGTTGCACTTTAACTAATCCGACAACCGGCCGATCAATTTTCTTGCACGTGAAAGGCCAAATTTATGTAAATGACCCTACGACCCTTATCCAATTTAAAAGACTATAATACCCATGAATCACCATTGGACCCAAACAAGCCCTAACTAATTCACTCATTTTCTTCTTCCTCCATCGATCTGTGGTGCTCCTCCTTCAATATCAGTGTGTATCTCATCAAACTCCTTCCCTCTTTCCAAATCATTGTGTATCGCATCCCCTCTTTCCAAAAATAAAATAAAAAAAAAAAAATTAAAACCCATTTACAGAACAAGAAGCTTGGATTCATCTTTGCCGACCGCTTCTCTCCACCGCCGCATTTCTTCCTCACGGCTGAGCCCTCGCCAATCAGTCACCGCTGCTGCACCACCCGTCGTCCATCACAACCAAGATCATCCAAAGCCGAAACCACCGGGGCCGTTTTCATCCTCTCCACCGTCCGAAGCCTCCTTGCTCGTAGTGAGTTCGGCCACCGTTCAAACCCGCCAAGCTCGCCGCCACGAGTCATTCACAGCCGAGTCAGTCCCAGCCACCAGTGATGTACATCGATGAGATCAGACAACCTAGGGACAACACAATGTTGGTGAACTGAGACCTATAAACAAACGACAAAGCCCCGACCAACAACCAACAACCAAAAAATCAAACGATGATGCCCCAACCAACAACTAAAAAAATCAAACGGTGACGCCCCGACTAGTCACTCGGCGACTATGGTATACCGACCAGCATAACAATCCACCAACAGAAGAACGAGATGAACCCCCAAATTAGAACGGCGAGGGCAAAGCTTGCACACAACGATCGTAAATGATTTGGGGTTCAAATTTCTATCTCTTTGCTCTGCCAATGTGAAGCTAACAATTGGGTACAAAAGTTTTTACGGTTTAATCACTGTTCTGAAACTCATCGATTGGATGAAGCCGCCGTTGCTGGGTAGGCGATGGCAATCTCAGTGGAAACCCCTTCAACTACTCGTTATGTGCCAATTTTTGTCCCAATTGTGATTTTGGGTCTCAAAGTGTAGGTGATGTTAGAGTTCATCTTTGATTCAGCGCGGTGGTGGAGAGGAAATCGGCTTTTTCATCAGATTGTGATATATGAAGATCGAGAATGAGTTAAAGCATATTTGGTCAGGATTGGGTCCAACCATCAGCCAAGGGCATTATGGTCTTTTAAATAAATATTTGGCATTTTATTTTCTTTGGTGTGATGCGGCACCGTTTATGAAGGGGTAAATTAGACTTTTTTAATTTTCGGTAGCTAGAAATGACTTGAAAAACATTCTTTATCCTAAGACTACACGAAGATCATAGTTAAAGGGGGTTATTTGTAATTGAGGGGGGTTATTTGCACTTTGAGTATAGTTGAAGAGGATTTATTGTATTTTATCCTTTTATTTATTTTTTTGATCGTCTCAACTTTTCAATTTTTGTTATCTCTGAAAAATTAATTTTTTAATTCATGGTATGGAATTCTTTTACGCGTGTTCAATGATATGCTGAGATTGCAAAAATAATAATAATTATTATTATTATTATTATGTGAATCTTTGTACCGCGTTTTTAGATATATATTAACATTCTTTGGTGGTTGCAAACAAGAAAAAAAATTTATATGGATGGATTGGATTTATAAAATATGAATCAAAGAATATAACATTTTGTAAATTCCAATTCTTTGTATTTTCTATTTTGAAAATACTCGGATGTTTTTTTTCTTCTTTTTGATAATTGTCTTAATTATTAAATTGATGGTAAATCTTAAATTTAGAAATGGTTTTTTTATTAAAAGGAAAGAAAATTAATGAGTTCGAAATATGAAATCTAAGGTACATGTGAATAAATTCTCTTACTCATCGGTGAGCAAAAGATTAGGACTCTATACATATGATTATACTATATATATATATATATACACACACACACAAGCCACAAAATAGGAAACATATCATTAAAATGGGCTGTTTTGTAAAATAAGAAATTTTTTTAAATAATTTTAGTGTTTCATACAAAATAGGAAACATATCGTTAATGAAAACATTAATTACCAATGGGAATAGCAACTGTGCATGGACTTTTGCCTTTTGCGACTTGGTATTCTTCTTTTTCATAATAACTGGATAAATTATAACATTCTCTTCTTAAATTTGACTTAATTCCAAATAAACTTAAGATTTTTGTTGCATAGACACCCTATAAGGTTTAAACAATTTTGCAAAGATCTCCCCCTTACAAAAATCAATACCTTTTGTTAGAAATTTTGGTTGAAATGACCAAAATCCTCTTTAACTGAGGTTCCGTTTGTTTGATGTAAAATATTTTTCAGAAAATATAATTTTATTTTTTTGGTGTTTGATTGTCGTAAAATATTTACAAATATATATATATATATATATATATATATATATATATATATTAAAATTTAACAAAAACAACTTATCCATCAATTTTCGATAAAATATTTTACATGCCCTGCCTACCTAAAAAAGGAAAATATCTTCTAAAAAAAATATTTTAAGTGGAAACAAACGGAGCCTAAGTAAAAATAAAAAAATAAAATTAAAATAAAATAAAATAAAAAACCTTTTACACTAATTATGTCATCAAATTACCAAAAGAAATTATTTTAAGGGACAAAATTGCCCCTCATTTTCTCTCTCCACTCACCATCACCACCACCAACTCCATTACAATTTCCAAAAAATACAACCCCAGTCAAAACAATGCAATCCTAATCCCAATAGGGTATTTTTGTCTTTTCGATTCAGCTCTAAAATTTTATAAATATTAATATATAATTGATGGGTAAAATTGTAAAATCACACAATTATGTTGGTAAAATAAACTGTTGTCACATAGAGGGGAGGTAAGTGGAATTTTGAAACGTAGAGGGAGTGTGATGGCAATGATTAGAGGGTGGTAAAATAAACGGCTGTCACATAGAGGGGAGGTAGGTGGAATTTTGAAACGTAGAGAGGTGTGAGTGGGATATTGACAAAGATCAAATGGTGTAGGTGGAATTAATCCATTTTTTTATAATAAATTTACAATAATACCATCTATTTTATGGTAAATTTCATTGATTTCCATCTTACAAAATTTATTTATTTATTTATTATTATTTATTTATTTTCCTGAAATATGAATGACCCTAATTCACATACCTATCGGTCCAAGTTTCAAAGGTGTCCTGTTGATAATAGGATTTAGATAATTCCGATCATAATAGGATTTCCTTTCTGGTGAGCATAGTAGATTCCCAAAATTTACAAGACGTCAAACCAACTGTGATCATCGTGATACCGCAATCACCAACTGAGAAAAAGGTTATGTCCTCTACATATATAGTGAACATCCCTGACGACGACGACGACGACGACGAAGAAATAGCAGTGCCATATTATCACAAAGCCAAGAATGTTATCTCAGTCAAACAGTACTCTGATAACAGAAACCTCCAGCTCGCAATCATGGCCTCTACCGGCTTCCCAAAACCTAATAGGTCTAAAAGAAGGTTCATAGACCTCACTCACGAATACCCAAATGACGACGATGATGTTAAAGTCATAGCTTCATGGACGCCCTCCCGGAAGATAAGAAGAAAGCCCTTTACGATCGCCGATAAAGGTGAATCTTCTAATTCCAAATCTGAAAAAGGGGGGTCTTCTAATTCCAAGTCTACTTCTGATGATCTTCATGCTCCAACCTTTATATGTGAAATCTGTGTTGAGCCAAAGTCATACAAGGAATCATTTAGCATAATGGGTTGTACACATTCTTATTGTTCCGATTGTATGATCAAATATGTGGCTTCAAAGCTACAAGACAACATCACGCAGATTCGATGCCCTGTTTCGGACTGTAAAGGGCTTTTGGAGCCCGAGCATTGCCGATCCATTTTGCCCCCGGAGGTGTTTGATAGGTGGGGGAGTGCTCTCTGCGAGGCGGTGATTCTAGGGTCTGAGAAATTTTATTGCCCTTACAAGGATTGCTCGGCGCTTTTGATCAATGACCCAGTAAATGGAGAGGTTATTAGACAATCCGAGTGTCCCAATTGCTACAGGTTGTTTTGTGCCCAGTGTAATGTGCCTTGGCATTTGGGGATCGAGTGTGCGGAGTTTCAGAAATTGAACAATGATGAGGATGAGAGAGAGGAGGCTGGTGTTAGGTTTAAGCAGCTTGCTGAGGAGAAGAGTTGGATTCGGTGTCCCAATTGCAGATTCTATGTTGAGAAAACGCTAGGGTGTAACACTGTGCACTGCAGTTTGGTTTGTTCATCCTCTTCTTCTTTTTTTCATTTCATATACCTTTATATAAAATTAAATTTTAAAAATGAAATAAAATATGCATAACGATTTTTGTTTGATGAATTTCTAATGGGAAAATGCTATACTTCACGAATTTTAATTTGTGATTTTATGATTGCTTTGTGTGTTTAAAAATAATTTTTTAATATAGAAAAGATGGAAGAAGAGAAAAAATAGCAAAACTTATAATTATGGAATCCAAATCTAGTATGACTTGAATTCAAAGTTTGGAAGACTCTTTCTATTATATATTTAAATAATTAAAACTAGTAGTTATAAATTTTTACCATGAATTAGTTGGTGAATAACCACTTGAGCATAAACACGCAGATAACTTGGTTTTTTTAAATAAATAAAAAAAAAAATTAGGAGAACATAGTTTTTTTTATTTATTAGGATAATAACTTTTGCATGCGAACTCTAGGCTCACACTTTCTTCAATTTGGAAAGGAGTAGGAGTTGTCTAATTAGTGGGAATTAATTTCGATACTATCTTATTAATTCTTTAGGTTAATTACACCCGCACTCTCTGAGGTTTGCTCTATTAATAGTCAGATGAAAGATAGTCTATTTTTAAACAATGACACCCCCTCAAGTTTGCTCCGATTGACAAAGACACCCCTTAACATTCTGACATAGGATAAAATGACTAGAAAGCTCTTTGACTTGTCAATTGACCCATTATAGTGCTAAAATTACCAATTTAACCTTCTAACTAATTTTAATATACCAAACTAACCTCTTCAGAATACATATATGTATATGTGTAGATATATATTATCTTCTCCAATTATACTTAAACATATACATATATAATTATATATATTGAAAGAGAATGAAGAAGAGGAGGGGAAGAAGAAGATATAAACCATTTTAATCCTACTAGTATGGAGAGAAAAATTGAATAATTTTGAAAGCAAATCCTTATGTAATATAAATGGAAATTAAAATTATTTATATATATAGTTCTTCTTCAGTTTTTTTATATTATAAATAAATAAAAAAGCTTCCAAACACACACTCACATATACACACACACCAGGGTTTTGAAGAGAGACCCACATCTTTCTTAAAAAAAAAAAATAAAAAAAAAAAAAAATAAAATAACCAGACAGACAAAGTGCTATTCTCTTTGGAGCAGTGAGCGAACCAGATGAGGCGATGGTGGAGGTGCCACCTATAGAGCGGGTGGCGAGACCCTCTATTCCTCGCCGCCGTCATACTGCCTTGTCTATAATTGCCGCCGCCGTCGGACCACCTCATCCACCATCACCGCGATGCCAAATGAGTTTGATTAGGTTTTATTGGTTTGATTTTAGGGTTTCGGGTTAGCATGTGTGGAGGAGGATCATTGGAGAAGAGGAGGGATTGAATGCTATTTTTTTCACCAATATAAGAGGATTGTTGAAAAGCTTGATGTAGATGGGTTGGATTGGATTGGAGATACATAATGGGGATGTGTGTGTATGTATATATGTATGTGTGTTTGATTCCTAAATCAATTTATTTCTGGAATGTAAATACAAACATGTGATTAATATTGTAGTGGGGATGCTGGTGGGTGGTGGAGGTTGCAGCGGGTGGTGGTGGTGGTGGTGAGTTTTTGATGAAGGTGAGAGGGTAGAGAGAGGAAGAAAGTTCTGGGTTTTTGAGTGGCGAGGTAGAGAGAGAAACCTAACAAGGGCAATTTCGTCATTTAAAAATTATGATATTTTATTTTTAAATTAATATTTTATTGAAGGCATCATTTAAGGGCCTGTTTGGTTCAAATTTTTTAGAGGGGGTGTCATTGTTAAAAAATAGGCTAACTTTCATCTGGCTGTCAATAAGGCAAACCTCAGGGGGTATGAGTGTAATTAACCCTAATTCTTTTTACAATTAGATTTAAAAATTCATCACCCTTGAATTTAAGCTCAAGATAAAAAAAGCCAAAACTTTTTGTGTGGTTTGTGTGTTCTATCCGATGTCTAGCCCTCTTTTAGGATCTAACTTCGTTCTTTTTTTTTTTGTAAAAAAAAAAAAAAAAAAAAAAAAACCCGAGTTGTCTGCGTGTTTATGCCCAAGTGGTTGCGGGTTAATAAACGCTTAATACGGTGCTCTGATGATCCTTCACTCTTTGAATAAGAAAGACCCTCTTACTCTCTTCAACCACCCATCAATATCCAATGGCTACCCCTAAGACTTTGAATGATTACTTTGCACCCATTACTGCCAACCCACCCAATTGCATAGATCTCCCTACAACTGATGCACCCCAATTTGAGATTAGGCCTACTATGATCAACCATTTACCCAAATTTCGTGGATTTGAAAGTGAGCAACCCTATATCCATTTAGGAAAGTTCTTAACAATTTCCAACACTTTCAAAAACCAAAATTTGAAAGAAAAGGGTGTCAAACTGCGCCTGTTTCCTCGATCCCTAAAAGATAAGGCTACCTCATGGTTAAACTCCATTCCTCCAAATTCTATTCGATCATGGGATGAACTTGCAAGCTAGAAAAGAAAAGAAAGAGAAAATTTTTAATTTTTTTTAGAGTTTGGATAAATAGAAAGAGAAATCTAATAGAAAATTTAGTTTCCCGCATGGAGTATTTTCCGTATAAAAATTTCCCCGAAAATTTTATTTTCACGTAAAAAAACACTTATTTATTTGCAATTCCTATTTTATCCAGTAACTTAATTGTGGAAAGTTTTCTCTAAAACAACTTCTATTCTGAGGTAAGTTCTCTCCAAAATAACAGACAAATTATACAATTATATATACGGAATATCAACGATAATTTGGGTAAAATTTGCTCAAAATATATCGTGTTTCTAAATAGAATTTTTTTTTTTTTTTAATCGTATGTTCTATGTTGCAATTCTAGCCACTCATAATCTCATAGATATATATATTTTTTTTATATGGTAAAATATTTTATTTTTCTCCCAAACAGTAGTATTGCCTCTTCATATCTAATTTTTTTTTTTTTTTAATTTGTTTATCTTAAAATAATAATTAGTTTTACCTAAGAAAATATTATGAAGTCTTATTCTAAATATAAATAATAAAAATGATAATAAACAATTATATATTTGAATTTAATAATCCATCATTTTACTTCACAAAGGTAGTTTTGGTATGCATAATCACTTTCTTTTCACTTTCATGCTATCCAAACTAACAAACTAATATTTTTCTACAATTTTCTTGGATAAATTTTCATGTTAACCAAATGCATGCTAGAAAATCTCTTCTTTTCATTAACTTCACTTTTCATTCACTTTCTATTTCTTTTCTTTTTTACCTTATTTCCATCTAACAAAACAGAGCCTAAGCAATTTTAGAGGGAGAAATGAGGAACAATTTCACCAAACTTAGGAGCATTTTCATGATTTGCTGATAAAATGCCCACACCATGGCTTTGATAAAGCCCAACTAGTCCAATTCTTTTATAAGGGGTTTTCACCTATGAACTGAACCGTGATCAAGTCTATGCACCAAGGTAAATTCAAGGCCTAATCCCCTGACCAAGCCTACACATTATTAGAGGAACTAGCTGAGAATGGATAAAATTGGAATTGAAACACTCATGATGATGAATTTTCTAAGAATGACCAAACCAATCTTCATCTTCTTGGTATGAGATCAAACTTGAAAATGAATTAAAATGTGTGATGCACAGTTTAACTAAAGAAGTCAAAGACTTGTCCAAATAATTCGATGTTTTTGCACTCATTGCCACAAGTACGCAATGCAATGTGTGTTCTAGTTCATTTCATCCTATTGAAGCATATCCTGTCTATTCTACCTCTGAACCTCCAAATGTTTAAGTGTGCACCTTTAATACCTATAGAAGACTGACAGCTAATACCTGTAGCCAAACTTATCATCCTGATACTAGAAACCACCCTAACTTTTCATGGCGACAAAATTTGCCTCCCCAAAACATAGGTAGTCAACCCGGTTTCCAAGGTAATTCCAATAGACAACATCAATCTCCATGTTTGCTCATTCCTCAAAGTTAGTTCCCACCGAACAATCACTTGAGTAACAATCGTGCTCTAGCACTTGATCCCATGAGCAATTATGCTCCTCTTGTCCCACAGAACCAACATGTTTCCAATTATGAGGACACTCTAAAGATGCTTGCCTTTAATCTAGACCAATCAAATAAGCAATCCAATAAGAAAATTCAAAAGTTAGGAAGTCATTTTGACCTCTTGACTCAAAACCAATTGCAATTCTAACAGTCCATGCAAAATCAATGGAGTTAACTCATTTCACTTTTGTCTGAACGCCAGAGGGGTACTTTGCCTAGTCAACCTGAAATCAACCCTAAAGGCTAATTGGTTAATTACGTAAAAACTTCTTTTACCATTAACTAATCAAATGATCATGTGAATTTCATCATAACACTTGGGTCAGGAAAACAAATCGATAATAAGGTTGAGCTACACACCTAAGATGAGCTTGAACCATCAAAGTCTAGTCCCTCAAACCCTCTAAACGCCAAAAAGGACCAAAATCCTCTTCCACCCTATGTTCCACCTGCACCTTTCCCTTCCCGACTAGTCAATAATAAAAGGAGTCATAATACAGTGAGATATCAGAAATTTTTCAAAATTTTCATATTAATATTCCATTTTTCACTGTCATTAAGCAAATTCATTCTTATGCAAAGTTTATCAAAGACTTAGTCAAGAGGAAAACTAACATCCCCAAAGAAACCTTTATAGCCCAACATTGTTCCTCCTTCTTACAAAACCAAGCTATGGTCAAACATAAAGACCTTGGAAGTCCAACTATCACATGTGGGATTAGAGAAAATTTTGCTAACCAGGCCCTGTTGGATCTAAGTGCTAGTGTGAACTTGTTATCTTATTCTCTTTACCAAGAGTTATGATTGAACAATTTGAGAATAAAACTGATGTTAGAATCCAATTAGCTGATCAATCAGCTAAGATTCTACAAGTATTATTGAGGGTGTGATAATAAAAGTGGTTGATTTTTATTATCCCATAAACTTCATTGTGATAGATGGGTGCACACAGTCCGGTTTAGACCAGATTGGGAATATTTTGGGACCAAGCCATTTATAACCGTTCCACTATTTTTGAAACCAGACCAAATCATAATGTCTATGAAACCAGACCAAACCAAACCGCGAAAAACCGGTTTGGTTCGGTTCGATTTGTTGGTTTCAATTGATTCTTTTTTATTTTATTTTAATTTAGAGGGGGCAAAATTTAAATAAAAAAAAATAATAAAAAAAAAATCAACTAACATTAATAGATATAACACGCCACCAATGGGCCAGTGGCCTAGCGCTATCGGCCTCTTACCACCCAAAGGGAGGTTAGGAGTTCAAGTCTCAGAAGAGACATGTGTGTGTGAGTACAACTAGGAAAAAAATATATATATAACACGCCAAAAAAAAAAAAAAAAGACTTTTAAGAAGAAATAAAGAAATAAAAATTGAGATATATTTAAAAGGAAAGAAAATTGATATATATTTGAAAAGGGATATTTGACTTTAAAAAAAAGAAATTTAGGGAATTTAAAGAACAAAAAAAATAAAGGGGGCACGTGAGAACTTTACTCAATTTAGGTTTAGGATATGATATATATATATATATATATATATAACATAGTAACGGTTCGGTCTGGGCTAGTCCGGTAAACCAGGACCAGACCAAAAAATTACGGTTCCATAATTTTGGACCTAAGACCGAACCAAACCGCTATACAACTAACCCAAACCGCCCAATTCAGTACGGTCCGGTCCAGTTTTTCGGTTTACCAGATTTTTTGAACACCCCTAATAGATACCCAACCCACTCAGGGTAAAGCAATTCCAATCATTTTAGGTCAACCATTCTTAACTATTGCCAATGCATTGATCAATTGTAGAAATGGTAACATGACCTTGACCTTTGGAAATATGAAAGTGGACGTCAATGTATTTAGTTTGATGCAACAGTCCTCTGACTCAGATTCTATTGAAAAGGTTTGTTCTATTGAGTCTTTAAAAGCTCACACCTTTGAGCAATTTTACCCTAGGGATCCTACATGCTCGTACCTAAGTAAGGCTGATACTTTTCCTCTGGTGATAGCTCCTGATTTAACCGATCACTAAGAAACCCAAGTACTTGAGGTTCTTAGGGTGAATCAAGAAGGCATAGGTTAGTCCATCGATGATCCCGAATGTATTAGTCATTTAGTGGTACAACATCGCAATCACTTACAAAATGATGCTATAACTTAAAGGAAGTTGCATGTACTGAAGTTGATCTTTTTGGGGGTATTTCCCTCATTACATCTAGCTGAAAATGTTAAACTTAGCGCTCCTTGGAGGCAACCCAGCCGGTTGTGTCTATTTAGTTACCTTGGATTGATTTTCGAGTCTTAGTTGTTGTGTCCATTCAGTTACCTTGGATTGATTTTCGAGTCTTAGTTGTTGTGTCCATTCAGTTACCTTGGATTGATTTTCGAGTCTTAGTTGTTGTATCTCACTCCTACTCATTAGCTTCGTAACTGTTTAGTATTTGAGAATATGGTTATATTTTGTTTAGGGGTATAACATTTGTTTGATATGGTTTTCGACTATTTTTCATAACATCTTTGCAGAAATTGTACTTCCACATCAAAACAAGTGAGGTAATATGTTCTAATGTTTCCCTATATGTCTCCATCTATACTTGTCCATTTAGTATCTATATTCTTTGGTGCCAACACTGGGGACAATGTTGTTTTTTGTTTGGGGGTGGGGCAATGATTTTGCTTCTATGAAAATTACAAATTGAATTACATGTCATGTCAAAATTGGGTAAATTATTGTTCATGTAGGATTGAGAATTTGTATTTTTAAGTAGTTTTGAATCTTTAATCCATGTTTTGGTATATGTGGTTCACATCATTGTCCAGTTCGACTATTGTTAATAATAGTTAGTTTCTTGTGTACTTCACTTCTCACTGTTGTACACTAGTATCTTTTTGTTGGGTATAGGCATAACCTTATGTGATATATTATATGTGTTGGATACGAGTTAGTAGACCTTGAAAAGTAGATGTCCTTGGAATGATGATATAGAAATATGCATGACTAGTTAATGCCTTTCACGAAGTAACCGGGCATCTTGCTTAATAAGCAGTGAGTGTTCGCATCAAAAAGTGGAGGGTTAGGAAAAATGAAAGTGTTGGTAATGCTAGTTTAGGTTCGAAGCCTAATTGACTTGAGTTAATAAGCTCTTTGGGGTGTCTTTACACCTAATGCCCTAAAATCGTCTGGTTGGGAGTCATTAGCCTAAAGCTCATTACATGGGTCATCTAGAAAGCTTAAGGGACTTAAACATTGCACATCTTGCCATCTTTGAAAAAAAATAAATAAAATAAAAATAAAAATAAAAATTGATGAAAAATTCGCATGCACAAGTAAAGTCATGAATTCATGCCTTGTGTACTCTAACTTGAGAGGGAATATTAATGAGTTGAAACTATTATGATGTAATATAAAGATAAAAGGGTAAAACACATAATTGGATGTTAGTTCACTTCAAAAGGAAGATAGGGATTGATTGCTATTGGAAATATGTTGAATTGAACTTTGTATGGGGACCATAGTATTAGTGCATGTAATTAAAGGTTTGTGATTGCTTAGGAATATTAATCTTTTTTATACTTGACATAATAGCTAACTCGATGATGATGTGAATAAGAGGGATGTCAGTCGCATGACGTGGCAGCATTTTATTGGTCCCTGATTTTTATCATTTTTTATTTTTTTGTTTTTCGAGCCGGTCTCTTTATGCTTTTTTTTATTATTGTTTTTGCTTTTCTGTGTCGGCTTTTCTTCTTTCTCTCACCCTATTCTCTTTCTCTCACTTCATCCAAGTTACAGACCCAAAATTCCTCTTATTCCCCTTCACGGTCTCTCATCCTATTCTCCTTCACCTTCACTTTCATCAGAATCTGCCTCCAAACCCAAAACCCAATTTTTTGCAAACCCAAAATTCCCCTTCTTCTTCCCCTACTTCCTAACCCAAAACCACTTATTCTCTCTCTACTTACCTGCGAGGGAAGAACCGGCCATCCAAGCCACCAACCACTCTTCTCTTCCCTCCTCTGATCTCTGTGCCATGGCTCGATGCGTGCTAGTTCTCCGAAATTTCACCTTCGGCTACGCTCACTCCACCCTCGCCAAGCCCATCGGCGTCGCTAGGTTCGGCCACGGACTCCTCTCCTTGCTGGCTCAGCTCTCCACATTCTCTCCTCAATTGCTGGCGCCGGAGAGCATGAAAAGGGTTGATAGAGGAGGTAAATGTGAGATGGTGGTGGCTTGGACGGAGATCGGAGTAGAGAGAGAAGAAGTGGTTTTGGGTTAGGAAATAAGGTGAGAGAGAGGAGAAAAGCCGACACAAAAAAGCAAAAACAATAAAAATAAATAAATAAATAAACATAAAGAGACCGCCCGAAAAACAAAAAAAAAAACTAAAAAATGATTAAAAAAAAAAAAATCAGGTCCAAAAAAATGCTACCACGTCAGTGACGTCACACGACTAATAGCGTTAGGCGACTGACACTAGCATCCTTCTTTACATAATTCACTTACAAGATTTTCAATTCGAGATGTGTAGCACTGCCCGTGGGAAAAAATTTCAAGATTGTATAACAAATCGTATTTCTCCAACCCTTGTCATTCTCTTCTTATTCTTAGGCTAGTTTTTCTTTTTCTTTCTTAGTATTCTCTTTCTGAAAGTATAAAGATGCATAACCCTCCACCATAGTCATCACATATGTCAACATTAAAGCTATCAAGGTATCTTTACAATGCATCATGCAATACAAATATAATCCTAAACATATTATATTTATATAGTAATATAAATTTATTTTTTTTCTCCAATGACTGCCCACTAAAAAGAATTTCTGGTCAATCACTAGATGTAGGAAGTATGAAAAAGAATGAGGCGGAGGGAAGGATTAGTTTAGGATTTTACCATTCTACCATTACATATCCAATGAATTGTATAAGATTAAAATGTGGAAGAGAGCCCTTCCCCTTCATTTTTCTTCCACTTTGGGAGGAATGAATAAAGTGGCTCTCGAAGAAAAGCCCCCCTCCTCTTTCTTTTCTACCAAACCATCAAAACTCCATCATTTTCTTCCTTACCCTCCTTTCTTTCCCGCTATATCCTCCTACCAAATAGAACATTACCATCTAATTGTGGCATGATTACAAGTTTACAACTCTTTTATCTAAGGACTAACTGTTGATATATATATATATATGTGTGTGTGTGTGTGTGTGTATACACTTTGAATAATTTTCATTGTTTATATTATCTTTTACCATATTTACTCATTTATTCATGTTGTATTTGATCGCAGATGTGGAAGTTATTTCTGTTATAAGTGTGGAGAAGTAGACTACAAGTGCAATTGTAGAAAAGTGTGGAGAAGTATAGTACAAGCGCAGCTGTAGAATCCTCTCATTTGCACCTCATGAAAATATAAGTAAAATATATCCTTCCATTTGACTTGGCACTATATTTAGAAGAGCTTCTAATGCCTTTTTTTTTTTTTTTTTTTTTTTTTTTTTGTCAAAACATTTGTTAAAGTTCTTCTATTACCGAAATAATTATTTTACCCTTAAATATAGCATTGTTTTGAGGCTATTTGACAAGTACTTAAAACAATTTTTCTTATTCAACTATTCATAAACACCATACAAATGAACCAGTCAATATAAACAAAGAATAATTTTATGAAAACTATAATTGTCAGTTTTCAAAATACAGATGCCTAAATTTTTCTCAAATTCTTCATGACCAAAAATACGGTGAATTATACTTATCGAGAAAAAAAAAAAAAAAAAAAAAAAAAAGCATTGTTTTGAGGCTATTTGACAAGTACTTAAACAATTTTTCTTATTCAACTATTCATAAACACCATACAAATGAACCAGTCAATATAAACAAAGAATAATTTTATGAAAACTATAATTGTCAGTTTTCAAAATACAGATGCCTAAATTTTTCTCAAATTCTTCATCACCAAAAATACGGTGAATTATACTTATCGAAAAAAAAAAATTAAAAAAAAAAAAATGGGTGAACTATGCTACTTGTCAAAAGTATTGTTACTTCACAAGAGATTTGTGCAGAAATTATTTGAACTTGAAAGGTGAAATCCATCCACAAGTACAAACACATTTTCAATATCATCAAAAATCAACTTTAGAAAGGGAAGATTGGCCAATAAAATAAAAATTTACAAGGGAAACATACAAGGGCATACACAGTTGATCAAAATTTAGGAAGTAAGACAAAAATTTTCCTCTTATTTTGGAGTATGGTTACAATTTTGAAAATATTTTTCCAATTCATATCCAAACCTAACAAATGCAAAATCAACTAGCGAATGGTCAACAAAATTTCAGTTCGCCATTTTATCAAACATCTAGAAGTCAAAATCGGACCCACGTCAGTCATGAGTTAACTAGGCACCAAACACCCCAAACCCCATAATACACCACAGCCAACACAATGCACCACCACCAGAGCCAGAGCCAGAGAGCCACCATGAACAACATGAAGAAGAAGAAGAAGAAGAAAGCAAGCCAACTATGATTATCGCAACACCACAATCACCATTTGAGAAAAAAGCTGACGAGAAATATGATATATCACTACTATGTTATCACAACAACACGAACAAAGCTATCTCAGTTGAACAGTACTCAGTTGGACACTGCTCTGAGGACAGAGACCTCCAGCTTGCAATCATGGCCTCTCTCTCCATTCCAACACTCGATAATAGGTCTGAAAAAAGGAAAAACCCAATTGAGATCAACGACAACGATGATTGTAGTAAAGTCACAGCTTCACGGAAGCCCTCTCCGAAAAAATGAATCCGAAACAGGGGAGTCTTCGCATTCTAAATCATCTTCTTTTATGTGTGAAATCTGTATTGTGCCAAAGTCATACAATGAGTCTTTTCACATAATAGGTTGTGCACATTCTTACTGTTCTGACTGCATGATCAAATATGTGGCTTCAAAGCTACAACAGAACGTTACGCAGAGTCGATGCCCTGTTTCAGAGTGTGGAGGGTTTTTGGAGCCAGAGCATTGTCATCCCATTTGGCCGCCAGAGGTGTTTGATAGGTGGGGAAGTGCTCTCTGCGAGGCGGCGATTCTAGGGGTTGGAGAAATTTTACTGCCCTTACAAGGATGCTCCGCAATTTTGATCAATGATGACCGAGAAAATGGAGATGTTATTACTCAATTAGAGTGTCCCAATTGCCACCGGTTGTGCTGTGAAGAGTGTAAGGTGGCTTGGCATTCGGATATAGAATGCACGGATTTTAAGGAAGATCAGAGAGAGGAGGAGGATATTAATTGATGCAGCTTGTTAAGAAGAAGAAGTGGATTAGGTGTCCCAAATGCAGATTCTATATTGGGAGATCTGAAGGCTGTCGTTGTATGCAATGCAGGTTGGTTATTTGTATTTTATTTTATTTTTTGTTATTGCAATTTCTATAGACAAACTTTGATAATTTAAAAACTGCAAAAACATTCATAAAAGAACTTAAGAAAAACTTTTAAAATTGGATAATACTATAATAGATAATTCGAACTGCTAAATTTTTTTATGACTGGGCAAATAAGGGGAAAAAAAAAATAAAATGGTATTTTCGAATTATCTATTATAGTATTATCTATTATAGTATTCATTTTTTTTTCCCTATAGTCATACAAAAATTTAACCAAAAAGACCAAATAACTACTACAAAAGATCAAATAATTATCTTTGAGACAATAAAATTCATATATTATCTATTGGTAACTTGACCATCGTATAACTAATTAATCTGAAATTAATCAGTCAATTAGTTATTTAAAGAAGCTTTTTTTATTTTATCAAACTTCCATAACAAACACAAAAAACAAAAAGTAAGACATTCAAGTCAAAATTTAAAACACTTTCAACCCTAAAGGAAAGTGAATATATTAACTATTATTGCAATTAGGCTTAGTTTAATATAATATTGAAAGATTTAAGAAAAAAAAAAGTATAAAAAAGTCGTGTATTTTTAATAAAAAGTTAAAAACCATTTATAGTTAGAAAATATTCTGGGGGGACCAAATATGTATTTATTTATACTATTTTTCATTTTAGGTAGTACTAATAATAGATAATAAGGGGGAAAAAAAAAATGAATACTATAATAGATAATACTATAATAGATAATTCGATAATACCAAATAACTACTACATAAGTTCAGATTAATATTAACTTTTATAAGTTCAAATAACTAAATTATTATTAACTTTTATTAGTACTACCTAAAAAGACCAATAACTATAACTAATTAATCTGAAATTAATCAGTCAATTAGTTATTTAAAGAAGCTTTTTTTATTTTATCAAACTTCCATAACAAACACAAAAAACAAAAAGTAAGACATTCAAGTCAAAATTTAAAAAACTTTCAACCCTAAAGGAAAGTGAATATATTAACTATTATTGCAATTAGGCTTAGTTTAATATAATATTGAAAGATTTAAGGAAAAAAAAAGTATAAAAAAGTCGTGTATTTTTAATAAAAAGTTAAAAACCATTTATAGTTAGAAAATATTCTGGGGGGACCAAATATGTATTTATTTATACTATTTTTCATTTTAGGTAGTACTAATAAAAGTTAATAATAATTTTGGGGGGCGGGGGGCCATGGCCCCTGCTGGCCTCCCCTGTCTCCGCCCCTGAATGGTGCATTTCATTCAAATCTATTTTTTGACACAATAACCATTCCATGTTTTGAAAGTCTATTGGAGTGTTTTATTTTAATTCTAGCAACTTTTGACAATCTCAAGATATGAGAGGTCTTTTAAGAGTCCATTGAAATGCTTTATTTTCATTCACTTGTTGTATTTTGAGTTTGAGAACTCATTCGAGAGCTGTTATATTTGCTAATAGTTTTGACAATCTCAAAATATGAGAGGTCTTTTGAAAGGCTATTGGAGTGCCTTATTTTCATCGACTTGCTATATTTTGAGTTTGAGAGAGACTAGGGGTGAGCAAATAATCCGTCAATCCGGTCCGAACCAATCCGATCCGTGTGGTTTGGTTCGATTTTCAGATCTCATGGTTCAGTAATGGTTTTAAAAAATAACAATCCTCTATTCGCGGTTCGGTTAACAGATTGAGTCCTAAAAAAATCAATCCGAACCGATCCGAACTGTTGCCTAAATAATATATTAATATATTTTATATATATATATACAATATTGAATTTACTTATTGTATTTCTATTTTTTTTTTATTCATTATTCTATTTGTATAATTTATATTGCCGGTTATTAAGTATATAATTTACAAATCTATTGCTCTTATTTGGTATATGATTTACTGATTTTATTGCTATTAGTGTTAGCATGTTACCTGGTATATGATTTACAAATCTATTTTATTTTTCTAGTTTTAATTACTAGCTTTTAATACTAATTTGATATTTTAATGGGCCATAAAGTATAATTATATTGGGCTATTTGAAAAGTCTAATCCTCCCAAACTGATCCCATCTGATCCGTTATTTCACAGATTGGTTTGGTTCAGATTGAAGATCCCCACGGATCAGTTCGGTTTCAAATTTCTCCAATCCGTAGGGACCTGTTCAGATTGAACTTTACCCTAAATCGAACCAATCCGATCCGTGATCATTTTTATAAGAGACCATTTGAGAGAGCATTGGAGATGCTCTTATGAAACTATTGGGATATCATGTTTACATCTACTTGGTGGCATACTTAGAGCTACTTACTAAAAAAAAAAATGCACTAACATAACAAACAAATCAAAAGGAAAACAAAAAAGGAGTAGTACAAAAAAGATAAAAAAAAAATTGACAAATACAAGAAGACTGCTTATTTTTTATTGATTACATTTAAAATTGTTCTTGACGTGGTCTATGTTCTTACACAAATTGAGCTCATAAAATTATTACAATAAATTTAAATAAGAAGAGGAAAAAGAAATAGTACAATATATAAATCAAGGGTTAGTGCAAAAAGAACAACTAAAAACCTATAAAAACCTTATGCTTCATTCGTACGAGGAAAAATTCGAAGGAAGAAGGAGATGCAGGAAAGATGAAAGACGATGAGTGGCAAGGAAAGGAGGAAGGAATGATAGTTTGCGATTTCACCACTATACATACTATTACAAATCCAAGGAAAAATGCATAAGAATAAAATGTTGAGGGGAAGCCCTTCCCTTCCCTTCCCTTCCCTTCCACTTTGGAAAGAATGAATACAGTGGTTTTGGATGAAAAGGTCCCCTCCTCTTTATCTTTCACCAAACTATCAAAACTCCATCCTTTTCTCCCTTCCCCTGCTTTCTTTCCGCCTCCCTCCTGCCAAATAGAACATTAGCGTCTAATTGAGCCTGTTGGCAATAGGGGTGTTCAAATAATCCGCTAATCCGTCAAACCGATCCGAACCAATCCAATCCGTGTGGTTCGGTTCAGTTTTAAAAATTAGCAATCCGTAATAAACGGTTCGATTAACGGATTGAACCTTGAAAAAATCGAACCAATCCATTAACCGATCCGTGAATTATATTATATTATAATATATATATATATATATATATATATATATATAATTATATGTATACTGTAATATATTATTTCTATTTATTTATTTTTATTCATTATTTGCTTTTAAATTTTAGCCCTACATAAGCGTATCTAACCGTAGGTTTTCTACTCTCAACCTCTGACTCTCTGCATGTCTATCGACTCTCTCTTCATCCCTCATCCCCAAAAGAAACTATATTATTAATTTATTACCATAACATCTGAAAAATTCTTGCAAATCTCCATCACTCACTTTCTTACTGTTTTTTTTAGATTAAATGAGTTACAACACACTGTTTTGACAGATTTATTGTTTGGCTGAGCCATAACTAAAATAGTAAAATATAATCATATATTGGGTTAGGCATAACTATAATATAATTATATTGGGTTATTTGAAAAAACTCAATCCGTGGGAACCGAACTGAACCAATCCGTTATTTCACGGTTCAGTTTGGTTCGGATTGATAATCTCCATGGATCGGTTCGGTTTCAGATTTAGCCAATCCGATCCGTGATCAGCCCTAGTTGGCAAGCATGATGACAATTCTTTATCTAAGGACTAATTGGTTAATATACTTGAGAAATTTTCATTGTTTATATTATATTTTACCATATTTATTCTATTCAATTGTTATATTAAACCATTTTTGAAAATCAATTCAGAATGTTCATGTGCAAAAATTAATTTTCTGTTTGGTCTGGGACTTTTCAAAGTGTGAATGAGTAAGTGAGGTTTTTGACATCTATTGTTGTATATTCTTTTTTTTGTTTCTTGATACACAATAGTGAAATCTCTTAGCACAGTAGACATTATTCTGTTCGTCTAAATATAGATGTCTATTTTGAGAACTGTGTCTCACAATTGTGCGTAGATATGCATGAATATTATCTCTTATATGATTGTGTGATTGATGTGATAATTATGAATCAACAGTTCGTGTTGAAAGAGAAATTTAATTCTCAACCAACTATGGAATAGGTTAGAGAGAGTTAATTTCCGAAGAGTAGAAAGAGTAATACTCTTATCATATTTAATTTGCTGCGAGTATCTTTTAACAACCGTGAAATATTCTTTATTTTTGTGCTTGGGTGGAAAAGAAAATGTGTTGCTAGTTATGGAGGTGGGCTTGTGTGGGAAGTAGGGCTACAAATGAACCAAGTTGTTCATGAATAGTTCGGACTGGTTCGTTAAGCAGACAGGCCGAGCTCGAGCTCAATTTTTATGCTCGTTTAGTAAAAGAGCAGAGCCCGAACAACATTGGGCTCGACTCACATAGATTCATGATCATGAACTTGTTAAGGCTCGTGAACAAGGCTAGTATTAGGCTCGTTATATATATATACATATTAAATGGCCCAACTCACATCCTTTCATTAATCAGGCCTATGTACATGTTAAAGGCCCAACTCACATCCTTTCATTAATCAGGCCTATGTACATATTATATGGCCCAACTCACATCCTTTCATTAATCGGCCCAACTCATATCCTTTCATTAATCAGGCCTTAGCCCATCATCAAGTATTACTTACTCCATCTCACTATCTCAGACGTTGGTTTTGGACCATGGTAATATTCCGAGATAAGATTTAAACCCTAAAACCCTACAGCCACATATCATCATCTTTATCCGTACTTTACGGCTCCAAACACATAATCTTCTACAAGCCGGCTCTCTCTCTTTCTCTACCGGATCAAATTCAACATAAAATCTGCCAACATCACTCCACAAGCCACATAGCTATCCCTCTTAAAAGGATCTTGAGGTGGAACTACAATGTGGAATTCTGCTACTACATTCATCTCATTTTAAATGTCAGCTTCGGAAACTATTGTGAGTCACAATTCCCGAAGCCGATATTTAAAATGAAACGAAGAGGGAATAATATTTTATTTTTATTTTGAAATTTTGGTCTTTATTTATTTATTTTTTTGTATTTTGTTTTTTTCTTGGAGATTGAGATGTGATCTCATGTAAGATATTAGTACTTTATCTGGAATTCATTCTACTACTTGAGTATATTAAATTTTTCGCAGAGTAAACAAAAATAATTTCGCAGATTCACTGATTCTTAGCGAAATATGCCCTTCGAATCTCTCACATTTATGTTTTTTTAGTTGAATCAGATACATCTTGTTATGCACGGTCGAGAAGCAAATTTGGGAGTGTATGTAAATGAGTCCGAGTCCGAGCCTGGCATAGCTAAGCTCACCCGAGCATCTCTCCAACGAGCCCAGTCCGAACAACCAAAACTCGATTCATTTACAATGAAAAGGGTGTGCGGACTCTTAAAAGACTGATGTTATTTCATTATTGACCTTTCTCCTTGAAAATTTTGCCTCTCCAGTGTTTTGAAATTTCTTGGGCCACTCAACTATTCAAATCTCAATTTGGGTCCCACCAATCTAAAATGTGGCCAATGAATACCAAATCAGCTATTAAGCGAGCTCACACTCATTTGAAAGAGAATCAACTGTACCAATATGAGATAATTTATCTTAAGTCTCACACTCACACACACACGGTATAAAAAGAATACTGATACAGCGACGGATCCTGGCTTAGTCCACATCAGACTCCTCACAGCCATACGTTTCTCTCTCACATCAAATACTCAATCATTAAAGTCTAACTCAATCTTCAATAATAATATTTAAAGAAGACCCAAGTTCAGACTCTAGTCAACAGATTCCATGGCATGTACCAATAGATTCGTTTTCCTTCACAAAACTCTAAATGAAGTTTAGAGATCCGGGCATATGTCTATAACACATACAAAATTGAAAAATTAGTCAGAATAGGAAAGAAGAAGAATTGGGATTTCTACGCTGGGTTTAATGAGTAACTATTTAGTTTTTTTTGGCGAGTTGTAAAATTATATATATATATATATATATATATATATATATAATTGAAGTTTGAATTAGTAAACAGTGAAGTATTAGATGTGAGAGACGCAAGCTCAAGGCTGTGTTTTAAGAAGTCTGATGTGGACTAAGCAACGTTAGATACGGTGCCTTCTTCGGTGATCCAGTGATACAATTGTCTCATTTCTCAATGATGTTACATCTTCTCTCTTTTATAAAGATCTTATCTTTTGGATAGATTTTTCGGTGACCTGGTGATCTCTTTTGTAAAGATCTTGTCTTTTGTGTAGATTTACAGAGTGGTACCCAATTTCTACTTACATTAATAAAGTTTAATTTTGGATTTTTTTTTTTTTTTTTTTTTTTTTTTTTTTCACAAGGTTTGGTTCACTCCCGATTTTAAAAATTAAAACTTTGAGACAATACGAGGCATCAGGACCCAAACCCCTTTTGAGTTATTGCGAAAAAATTACTTTATGTAATTACCTATTTTTTCTTAAAATTAGGCACAATAAAATTTTAATTACAAGCCAAGTCACATAAATGCATAAAAATGAATGAAATTCATTATTATTAGTATTATTTATTTATTTTGCTGTTATGCAGACTGCAGTTATCCTTGGAAGTAAAAAAAAAAAAATTCTATTATGCCCTATTCAATATTATGTTGTTGTTTTTATAAAGCAGCTTGTTTGATTGTCATGTTTTTTACTTTTATGCAGACTATAGTTATGTTTGAAAGTAATTTTTTTTTTTTTTTTTTTTTTTTCTATTATGCCCTATTCAGTGTTATATTATTGTTTTTATAAAGCAACTTGTTTGATTAATTTATACATTTTTATCAAGCAGGTTATATTGATTGTAATTGAGTTTATTTGCATGAAATTTATTTAAAATATATATTTACTACTATAAATGAATATTTTATAAGTTTATGATGCTGTGCTCCCACTCTAAGATTTTTTAGAATATGTCGTTCTCGTCCTATGTGACTTAGATTACAAGTAGTGTGAGGGGGGAATTAATTTTTTCTTGTAATTTCAGGGGGCAACATAAATAGTTCATAGTTATAAAATTGAAAAAAGAAAAAAAAGTAGTGGTATATAAAAGTAAAAAATAATAATTTCAGTGGGTCAATTGACCCCACTGAATACACAGTGTATCATTCATGCTTAAGCCCTGAGCCTTAAGCCCTAAGTTTTAAAGGAGGTTGATTTTTTCCCCATGAAAATAGGATTTTAATGAGAATAGAATATGTCCAAAATTAAAAGACGTCTAACAATAGTAATTTACTTAACGAAAAATCCAAAAAAGGGAAAAAAAAAAAACAAAAAGTCTAACAAAAAGCTGCTAAAAGACCAATATGACACCACCGCCAGAGCCATAGCCAGGCAGGGCCATTGAGCCACCATTGAAAGCAAACGCAATCGGCAACTGAGAAAGTGGATATGTCGTCGAAAGATATAGTGAACATCTCCGACGACGACGACGACAACGATATAACACTGCTCTATTATCACAACAAGAAGAAGAAAAATGTTATCTCAGTCGAACAGTACTCTGAGGACAGAGACCTCCACCTCGCAATCATGGCTTCTCTGTCCTCCCCAACACCCAATAGGTCTAAAAGAAGGTTCATAGACCTTACTCACGAATACCCAATTGACGACGATGATGTTCAAGTCGTAACTTCATGGACTTCCAATCGGACGACAAGAAAAAAGCCCTTTACGATCTCCGAAACAGGGGAGTCTTCCAATCCCAATTTTCATACTCATACCTTTATATGTGAAATCTGTGTTGAGCCAAAATCACACAATGAATCATTTAGCATAAAGGGTTGTACACATTCTTACTGTTCCGATTGTGTGATCAAATATGTGGCTTCAAAGCTACAAGATAACGTCACGCAGATTCAATGCCCTGTTCCTGGCTGTGGAGGGTTTTTGGAGCCGGAGCATTGCCGAACAATTTTGCCACCGGAGGTGTTCGACAGGTGGGGAAGTGCTCTCTGCGAGGCTGTGATTCCGGGATCGGAGAAATTCTACTGCCCTTACAAGGATTGCTCGGCGCTTTTGATTGATGAACCAGAGAATGGACAGGTTATTACTCGAACGAAGTGTCCCAATTGCAAGAGGTGGTTTTGTGCCCAGTGTAAGGTGGCTTGGCATGCGAGGATGGAGTGCGCGGATTTTCAGAAATTGAATAAGGATGAGAGAGACAAGGAAGATATTATGTTGTTCAAGCTTGCTAAGAGGAGGAACTGGATTAGGTGTCCCAATTGCAAATTCTATGTTGCGAGAAATAAAGGCTGTAATCATATGCGATGCAGGTTGGTTAGTTCATCTCTGTTTTTTCATTTTATATATATATATATATATATTATGTGGCCGAACCTATTCAGGTGGGACAAAGGCAAAGATGATGATGATATACCTTCTGTCAGTAAACATGAAGCGATTTCTCTTTGTTTAGCTCATCAAATTGACATGTCTTGTGGCTGAGCTCTGCTTGCTTGGTTGCACAATGTGGTTATAATTGTATTGGGAACTACACCCATGAAACCACTAGGATATTATGTTTACTTGGCACTACTTACTTGAGTGGTTGAGATGATTTCAATCAAATTTTGTTATTATTAACAAGATATATGTTCCATTTTGCAGAGGAAGCTTGATATAGTATCATCTTCTTCTTAACCCTTATGTTGTTTCTTAGCTTTCTTAAATTTACATTAATTTGCTATCTTCCTAGTTCCTGCGTGATGCAACTGTGATATGACTTTAAGCTTACAATCTATAAAAACCTTATAGGAGCGAAAATTGGAAGGAAAGGAGGAAGGAAAGATATTTTGCGAATTCACCATTGTACCATTACATAAATGTTGAGGAGAGCCCTTCCCCTCCTTTTTCTTCCACTTTGGGAAGAATTAATGCAGTGGCTCTGGAGGAAAAGACCCCCTCCTCTTTCTTTTCTACCAAACTATCAAAACTTTATCCTTTTCTCCCTTCCCCTCCTTTCTTTCTGCCTCTATCCTCCTGCCAAACACAACATATATTATCGTCTAATTGAGTCCGTTGGCAAGCATGATCACAACTCATAATCTAAAGATATGTTGGTATACTTGGAATAATTTTCATTGTTTATATTATCTTTCACCATATTTATTCATTTATTCCTCTCATACTTGATTTTGCAGATGTGGACACAATTTCTGTTACAAGTGCGGAGAACTTTTATTAAACAATAAACATCAGTGTACTCCGATCTCTTTCACAAGGTAAATGTAGAAAGAGTAGTGCATGGAATGGCTATATTAGTAATTTACATATTAAACCATTATTTAAAGTCGAATCTTAATGGAATGGAAACTACATAAATCTCTAATATCAGTTCATCTGCAGTTCAATTGTTGGTTTTGTCATTGAAATTTTTGCCTCTAAGCTTTTGGAAAATATATAATTGCATTTTTTATTAAAGGACAAACTCTGTGTATGATTCACGCTCTATCAGTGCCACTAAACAAAAGTAATGACCAATACGAGAATTGTATTCTTTTGGTCAATAGTACCCTCAATTTCATTGCAAATTTCCCATTCATCTATTTTTCTCTCTTTACTTTCTTTCTCTATACTGTATCCACCCTCTTGGCCAACCACCACTACAATCACCGTTACTGCTTGTACTATTAGTGCCGTGGCTGTCTTGGGGTGGTATCGATCGAGATGGGGAGTCAGTTTGATTGGTATCATTTTTGAGATATTCTTGTACCAAATCGTTGCATGACACGTAGGGGTTTGATTGGTATCATTTTTTTTTTGGGTGGATTTGATGTGGGTTGTGGCCGAAATAATGGTGGATACAGGTTGGTTGATTATTGCCTAATACAGTCACCTTTTTTTATTATTGCCTAAAAAAATGAGAGGAGAGGAGACATAAGCTCCGTTGGACCCTGCATTTATACAACGTCCCAAACTCTGAATGAGAAGAACAACAAATATATATCACAATTGTGTCCTCCTTATATTTTGACTAAAAATTTGTGTATGCACAGACTCCAATATGCATGTTGTGTGGGGGTGCACAAATGACGTTTGAACTGGTCGGTGCTCCCTTTTCTTTTCTTTCTTTTTTCTGGTTGTTTTAATGATTCGGTTCTCGGATATAAATATAGTGTAACATACTTATATCGATTTGTTACCATAAATTACCTAATCGTTTCTGATTAGTTATTTATGGACAATACAAATAATATTTCTTTTAATTGATGCATAAATAAAGAAGTAGGTTATACATTTACATGTATTGTGCATAAATAACATTCGATTAAGTAACTCATTGCAACAAATCAGTGCAAGTATTATTACTCATAAAAATATAATCCCTCCGTCTTAAAATAAGTATTTTTTTGTCGGTCCAAAAGAAGTATTCACTTTAAAATTTCAAACTTGAATATTTTCATATATGTCCTTTGAGTTTAAAATTTCAAACTTGAATATTCAAAACTTAAAAGAGCAATTTAGCAACTTTTCAGGGAGAAAATGCATGCATCGCATGTCCCCTTAAAAATTACTATTCTCAATGAGCAAAGGGAGTATATATTTATAGAATAATAAAATATTACTTCTTCCGTCCCAAAATAAGTGTCATGCTTCTGTCCCAAAATAATAATCCACTTTCTATTTTCAAACAATATATTTCACATCTTTTCATACATGTCATTTGAGTTTAAAATTTCAAATTTGAATATTCAAAACTTAAAAGAATAAATTAATAATTTTTCAAAACAGACAATGCACGTCCCACATGTCCCCTTAAAAATTATTACTCCCCATAAGCGACATTTAAATTGAGACAGAAGAAATATAATATATATATATATATATATATATATATATATATATATATATATATAATAGAATAACATGCTTTGTATAAATATATATTTCATTTTAACTTAGAATCATTCTCGGATTCTTCCATTGATTTCACAATCTGATTCCGTTATATTTTTTTTATTTTTTTTAAAGACGTTGGAACTAATTTGACTTCAAAATACTCCTACACTGATCCAATATGAATCCAAAGCACCTAATTTTGTGCGTATTGTCACGGGCTTAGAGTTTCTGCACCACTCTAGCTGCTCCCGTGCGGCACCAAGACGTTGCTTTCACTCTCGCAAGTACTTGGTCAGCCTAACTCCCGTGCACACCTTAGCCAACACACTCCCCTCGTGCGCTTACTAGTGTTGTAGTTGCCCTCGCCCTCTCCTCACTTGGCTTGCACACTCACACACACTAAGGCACTTAAGTTGGCAAGGAAAGAACACTTCTATTACTTCAAAGAATGCTTTGTACAAGGCTAGCACTCAAGCTCTCTACAAGGCTCTCAAGACTCACTCTAGGACTTGTTGTCTACAAAATGAAGTCCTACCTCTATTTATAGGCATCCCCATCCCTAATGGACGGCTAGGATGCATTCTAACCAACGGTGGAGATTGATTATCTGGAATCTTCTCCCACCTTCTTCACACTTCCATACTTATCTACTAGTATCTACAACATTCTAGAATTCTCCATACTACTCCACACAACTCTGGAGAACTCTAGAACCTTCCACACACTTCTACACATTTCTACACATATCTAGAAACTTCCACATAACTCTAGACTATTCCGGAAGACTCTAGAAACTCCACTTGCCATGCAGTTGCCATGCAGCGTCCTCCTCAGCGTCTGCGTGTCGCCTGCGTGGCACAACCTCCATAGGCGGGGCGTGACATTCTCCCCCACCCATTTCCGTGACGCCCTCGTCACGGTTTCTTCAGCTGACCCAGCCTCTCGCAGGTCATCAGCACTTGCGCATATGTCCTTGGCCCAAACGTACGAGCGCCCTTCGGGAGATGTGAAGTCCTCACGAGCTCCATCGTGTTGACTGCCACCTCTGGACTCTCCTTCCTGCCCACGAGCGGCACCATACATGCGGCCTTGCCTTCCTCGCCTCCAAGTATCATCAACGCACCAAGGCATGGTAGTGGTGCGGCGTTGTTCCTGTCCATGAACTCCAGCCCCAGCACCATGTCGTGGTCGTCCATCTCCGCAACTTGGAAGTCAGCCTTGCCCTTCCATCCTTGCATGCATAGCTCAACCTCCTTGCACACTCTACTCACGCGTGCCTCCTCGGAGTTGACGGCCTTGATCCATCCCTCCGTCTTGCGCATCTCCAAGCCAAGTCGTTGCGCCTCCTCTGGGGTAATGAAGTTGTGTGTAGCACCCGTGTCTACCAACGCTTGCACGGCTTTGCCACCAACCTGCGCATCCACATAGCGCACCCCAGCTACCTTCTTTACCTTGCCCTTCTTCTTAGTGTCATGCGCCATGCTACTCAGCATCTGCATAGCCCCCATGCACCTATCTTCATCACTACCCGCATCGTCCACCCTGCCCTTGCCCTTATCCTTCACAAAGGCGCTCATGGTCTTCTTGTTGGGGCAGTGTCGCAATATGTGCGGCCCTTCGCACAAGTAGCACTTCGGCTCCCACTTACCCTTATCGTGGCGCTCCCATTTGCCACTAGCCTTGGACCTCTCTCCACGGTCCTTGCCCTTATCATGGCGTGGGCGTCTCTCCTCATCGCTGTGCTCATCATCACTAGACTTGGGCGAGCCCTGTTTCTTGAAGCGTCGGTCTCCCCCACCTTTGCCGTGGTCCCTCCTGGGAGACGTGGCCCTCTTGTCATCGCACCTAAAGTCTTCGAAGCGCTCCGCTATAGCCATTGCGGATGCCAAGTCTCTAGGCTCCCTCCTCCTTAGCTCCGTGGCCACCCAAGACTGCAGCCCATCAATGAACAAGCACACACGTTGCCGCTCCGGCATCTCTGGGATCTCCAGCATCAAGTTGGAGTACTCCTTCACATACTCCCTTATGCTGCCCTTCTGCTTCAGGCGCCTTAGGTTGATCATGGCGAGGTCCTCAACGCACTCGGGATAGAACTGCCTCTTGAGCTGCCTCTTAAACTCCTCCCATGTGTCAACTGCTCTTGCGCTTCTACCGGTGAAGCGCTGCCTCCACCATAGAGCGGCAGTGTCCGTGAGGTACATAGTGCCTGTCTGCACCTTCTCCTCATCATCCTCGATCTCCATGCACTCGAAGTACCGCTCCATGTGCCAAAAGAAGTTGTCAATCTGGCACGCATTCCTTGCCCCATCATACTCCTTGGGCTCTGGCGCTTTCTTCTTCCTTGGCTTCACCACGACCTCGCGCGCCTGGGAGAACTCTTTCTTGCACTCGGCAATCTCCACGTGCAAGTCGTCTACCTGATCATACAAGTCCCTTTCCTTCTCTCGCGCCTTGTTGGCAATGCCGTCAATCAGCTCGTAGAGTTCCGCCATTTTTCTCTCGAGCCTATTAAACTTGGTCTCCGTGTAGACCAAGTGTGTGGCAAGCTTCTCCTCCAAGCTCTGCTCCAAGACGTGGACTTGGTGGTCTCCTCCGCTAGCCATGTCTACTCCAACAAAGCTCCCTTGACGAACCTGCTCTGATACCAACTGTCACGGGCTTAGAGTTTCTGCACCACTCTAGCTGCTCCCGTGCGGCACCAAGACGTTGCTTTCACTCTCGCAAGTACTTGGTCAGCCTAACTCCCGTGCACACCTTAGCCAACACACTCCCCTCGTGCGCTTACTAGTGTTGTAGTTGCCCTCGCCCTCTCCTCACTTGGCTTGCACACTCACACACACTAAGGCACTTAAGTTGGCAAGGAAAGAACACTTCTATTACTTCAAAGAATGCTTTGTACAAGGCTAGCACTCAAGCTCTCTACAAGGCTCTCAAGACTCACTCTAGGACTTGTTGTCTACAAAATGAAGTCCTACCTCTATTTATAGGCATCCCCATCCCTAATGGACGGCTAGGATGCATTCTAACCAACGGTGGAGATTGATTATCTAGAATCTTCTCTCACCTTCTTCACACTTCCATACTTATCTACTAGTATCTACAACATTCTAGAATTCTCCATACTACTCCACACAACTCTGGAGAACTCTAGAACCTTCCACACACTTCTACACATTTCTACACATATCTAGAAACTTCCACATAACTCTAGACTATTCCGGAAGACTCTAGAAACTCCACTTGCCATGCAGTTGCCATGCAGCGTCCTCCTCAGCGTCTGCGTGTCGCCTGCGTGGCACAACCTCCATAGGCGGGGCGTGACAGTACTGTGACTTCCTTTAAGAATTTGGGATCCTTAGACTTGATTCTTAGTAGGGTACTTCTCTCAGGCCAAGGTTTATTATTATTATTTTTCAAGAGACCAATTAGATTGTTAAAAGCTTGCTGGATTGGGCCATAAAAATTGAGCCTCTAAATTTTTTACTACTCTT